TCCCTGCCAGTACGTGTTTTCCAAGCGTCCCCCTCCCCACTCACATGCCCCCTTCTGCCACTCGCCGCTCTTCTCATACCTCGCTTACGTCCCACCGAACGCCCTACCTTTAATCGCCGACGTCCTACCCTGTGCCTGTTCTAAACACTGCAGCCTACACGTCTTACTTCCCCCACAATTTCCTTACTTTCCTTCTTCAAATCTCCGCCCTTTCAAGACACACTCCTGTCCTGCCTCCTGTCTGTTCCCGGCCCCTCTCACCTTTTCCAGCATCGCCCCACACCCCGCCTCGTCGATTCTTGCCTCCTCGCGTCCGACTTCGTGTCCGGCTACTTCCCGCTCGTCAGACTAATCCATCGCAGTCGTGACGCCCTTTTCCCTCACTCCCCTCCCCCTAGCATCCAACAACTACTCTGGCCCCCTTAGCCACCCTCTCCGTCTGGCCTCTCGTGCCTTATCCGGTCAATTTTCACCTCTCACCCCGCTCCCGGTTAACACCCCGTCCCGCAACTCCCCGCACGTTCACTTCCCACCCCCCTCTCCCTGCCTCTCTGTGCCCGATCTCGAACGCACACCTCTCCTCCTTCGTGACTCATGCGACTCATCCCGCCGCCCTTCGTCTTTCCTGACCTCTTTTTGTGTTAATTCTGTTTGGTCGATAACTACTGTTTTCATAGGTGATACTTTTTATTCATAGCTCTCACGCGTGGATACTGGTGTTACCGTTCTCTGTTTATTGATTATAATTTTTTTCCCGCTAAGTGTATGGCAAAGTAGCATTTTGCGTGACGCTTACTGCAATGTAATCGAAACAAATAAACACAACACTGACGACGTACTAAATCAACATGGTTGCCATCTCGCATATGTTGCCAAGACTAGAAACACGAAAGTATCCGTTGGAATCTCAAATATAGTGGAGGAACAACTGCTCATAATTCGTCTTATGTAATACGATTCTAGTAAAACCACACGAATGTGGTTGCAAAAGGGAAAAATTGAAAATGTTCTTGAAAATATTACCGGAAAAATACCTTCATATTTTACCATAAAAATGGATCCGCGTCTTTTTTATCAGCTTAGTTTGTTGTATTGGAGTAAAGAAATACAAGTTTGGGTCTATTTTTGAGAATGTTAAGAATATGTCTTAGGGACTTTAAGGACGTTAAAAAGTAAAGATCATTTTCAAATTCGAGGCCCTTTGAATAAAATATATATGTTTTGGGGCGAAACTTGTGTACGTTTTAACACCTAGTATTGTTTACAGACAGACTGATCGTCAGTCAGAGATTTTGAAATGTTTTTGTATTAATAAACCAAAACATGTATTTTTACTTAAAGACGGTTAGACGAAAATAATGTAGTATGTATGAAAGTAAGAAAAAAAATCTTTTTGAGTTATCAGGCATTCACGAAACGTGTTTTACTGTAAACAAGTGGACACTTCCAGCAGTATTACTTTAATTTCTGTATAGAACAAAGACTATGAGGAAGTATGAATGAAAGCAAATCGTTTGAAAATTTCTTTGACAAATTATTTAAAAATTCCAGTCACGAGTCCTGTCATTACATAGTCCTAAAACAATTTATTCGTACGCCGGCCTCATTTCTTCTGATATTTACTTAAATTATAATTGTACAATTTTCATTCGTAATTTCAAGAATTGAACATTGAAGTACAATTGAACATCCAATTCCATTACGCCACTCCAAGCCACACGTCACGTCGCTACTCCACACTTTACTGCGCCGCATAATTTACGCTTCAGCTGGAGCCGTCACGCATTGCCACGCCCTGTAAAGCTTCAACACACAACATTTCCTCCTCGACGTGCGGCTCTCAAATACGCCCCGCTGTTCGCTCACGACGTCCCACCCCACACCATAGTATGCCCCTCTACACTCGTGCCACACCATGCCTCTCCAAGCCAATTCATTCCATTGTATGCCAAGCCTCCTCACTGCCAGGGGCAGATCCAGCAGTTCATTGGGGGGCGTCTTCTTCTTTGGTCCTATCTTCCATATACGGAAGTTATATGACCCATAACGGGTTTTCTTGGGATTAATTATTCAGGGTGGTTTCCCGTTGCCTTCCCTGATATGATGATGATGATGATGATGATAGGGGGTGA